CCTCTATGAGCAATGCTGAAATTACAACACGCATCTTATTCGTCGTCTAAAAAAATTCAGTTTCACAAATTTTCAAGTTCCTAACCTACATATTTTCAGAATAATCGCAAAAAAACGATTTAAAATTTTAACTTTCAACACCCTGTATTTCCGAAACTATCAACTTTCGGATAAGGCATGTTTGCGACAATGGTCACCATTTCACGTGTTCAGCTTTCGATTTTCCCATTGTTAATGAATCACCCTGTATATAAGACGCAAGACCTCACGGAATATCACGAATATTTTGAAAATTACCCCAAGTTGAAAGTAAGTTAATTTTGTAAAAACATTCATGACCAAGAAAAAATTTCCTTGAATAATTTGTGTACAGGGTGTCCCACTTAACTTACCTACCCCACTTATCTCGGTTAGTTTTGCAGATATACAAATTTTGTTGAAATAAAAGTTGTAGTGGTTTTTATGAAGTTTCTGTTTGTAGCAACAAAAAACAATTCAAACTTAAATGTCGATGTGACAGATACAATTTATTATTTATTTAATGGTACACCCTGTAAATGATTACATTTTTAGATGTAAAATTTTATTCTGAACAAAAGTACATAACATATGTGGCACTTTTATACTTTTATTGTAAAATACCAGGAAATGAACCGAAAGCAGAAAAACAAATAATAGTTCGAAGAAATAACAAAATTATAGAAAGAGTAATGAAAATTAACAGAAGAAGAAAAATATATATTTTTTAAATAATTGTTCTATGCGATTCCCATTCCTCTGAATGTATAATTCATATATTTTTCTTATTTATGCGATCACACTTTCTAATACGTCGAGATTATTATTGATATTCGAAATTTCCGTAGTTATTCTTTCAATTAATTGATTTATCTTCTACTCTATTAGTATATACTTTATTTTTTTAATAACCCTACAAGAAAAAAATCCAGTGGACTAAGATCTGGACTACGGGAAGGCCACAATGTGGTGCCTCGCCTACCAATCCACTCCGTGAAATTGTTGTTTACAAAGTTGGTAACTTCCCCAGTATTATCACATGGAGCTCCGTCTTGTTACCAGATTATTACCCTTAGCTGGTTTAATGAAATTTCTGACAGAAAGTCGTCTATTTCGTTTTGTATCTTCTACCCGTTAGACTTCCATGAAAAATAATAAAAAAGTATCCGCATGTTGAGACATTTACCATTATTATTTCCTGAAATTGAATTTTGTTCACAAAATGGGGCTTTTCATGAAAGTCAGTCTTGTTGATTTGTTATTGCTATCACATTGATGTAAACTGTTTAGTCTTTGAGAAATTTTTGTCGGAATTGTTGTGTAGTGTTTTAAAACATCTCGTTTTGGCAAAGAACATCAATCAGTAAATCGAAAGAAGTACCTAAAAACACCCAAAAAATCTAAAACAAGTTTAAGGAAACTGTTTATTGAGTTTTGTAGTGAAAAGACAGTGACGGGCCTTTGACTATAATGTCAATATGAAGATGATAAATTCTGAAACTTATAAAGAAAGTGTTATTAATGTAATATGGAACTCCACAGCTAAACAGTTACAAGAAACGTTTTATGAAAAGGTATTAAATTAAGTTCAATATATTTGTGATGTAAAATTTGGCTTTTAGAGCTGTTCAAGATGCTATGCAAAGAAAATTACAAAGCGATGTATTGAAAAGAAAAACCGGTGCCTCATCATTAATGATGATTGTAAAATAATTTTATCGAAATTTGGGATCAAGATGCCCATAATCAGGAAACGTTGGGTACTTGAAAAGTTTCTAAAAGAAGGAAAGAAAATAAAGCTCAACGACTGCGAGTTAATAAAATATCAAAAAGACTATGTGATCAAAAGATTATCCATACATAAATTAGTGCTGAAATACAAAGAACAGTCGTGCGACATATTTTTGAAAAAACTCGTATTGACGTGAAGATGACACGAAAGTTGAAGAAGAGACGAGACCAACATCAAAGCTGTTTTTGGCATGAGTTTAGATATTACAGGGTGACGGCCTCACGAGCGTTTGAATTTAGTCGGTGCAAAACCAATGACGCAACTCTGATCACGTTAATAATGGTACGAAAGATCTCAGATGCATCGGCCATGAAACATGACAGAATGTTAGAGCATGAAATGAGGAAAACTGGAAGTACCAGTTTGGGGAAAAAAATTAAAAAATGTGGTATAATGCTTTGCAAAAACTATCCCACGATAGCAGGATAGCCTGATGGAATCTGTGAAGACAATATTATTGAAATTAAATGTACCACGAATATGAAGACTAAAAAATTATGTGAAAAACGGAAAACTGACCCAGAAGTTTTATGTGCAGATGGCAGCTACAAATGTATTTAACAGGGCTCCAGAAGGGCTATTTCGGTGTAGCTGATTGCAACTACATTACAAATAAAAAAAGTAGAAATAATTAATGTTACATTTGATGACAACTATGTATCAGATCCGATATTCTTAATGTTTTAGTTTTTTCATGGAAAGATAATGTGTATCCATTATTATACCAAATTACAATTTAAGGGCAATTAAAATGCATATACTATTATGGTAACTTTATATTTTTATTTAACTAATTAATCTTGCAACACAGAATATTAGCACTAAACTACATTTTTTATTTTCAATACAAATAAGATATTATTTGGAAATAGTAAATACTTCCGAATATCATAGGACAGTTTTTTAAAATCTGTCATCATGCTTATTATTTATGTCCTTAAACAATTTTATTATACTGATAGTAAATTTCGTTTTGTTCCGTTTCAAAAGGTCTCCAAAATGCCTTGTTGTAATAATATTAATAAACAAAATATCCCTCCTATTTCTCCCTTTGGCAATTGTAATATGAATGATTAATAGGAGGTGCCTATAATAAATTAAAATTAGGTACCTGAATCACACCAAATTCCGTATTGTTGCACTGCACTGCTAGACCATTTGTTAACAACTGAATTTATGGCCAGGTTGCCCAGTGCGGCTGTGTTTGCGTCGTATTTGCCCGCGCGATCATTCTTCAACTGGGCGATCAGACTTGTATATGGGTATGGTTAAATAAATATGGGAACAAGTTTTTCGAAGATTTCATTGACGAGTTGCTGCGTCAGCGACCGAACCTGGTACATACTGCCAACCTCTTGGTTCTTCAGTTGAGATCGGAAAGACTGTAACAGTCATCATCTTTATCATGATCAAGCTTTACATTTGCATGTAAAGCATCATGAACAAAATATAACAGGAGATAATACTAAAACAGAAACCAACTCACAATCGTTTATAGTAATTGGGTTTTAAATGTTATTAATAAATTACAATAAATAATTTTGTATTACTATTAATTTGTTTCGCGTTATGAATTTTTATGTAACAATATTTTGTAACATGTATTATTAAAAACATTATTAGCAATTAACAAAGAAAAGTTACTTAATTTATTTGTTCAAAAATAAAATGTTCTGTGTGCATTATAACTTATTATTATTTGTAATATGCAAATATCTCGATAACCAAGAGAGATATCGAAAATGAACAAGAGTAACTCTTTTATGAAACAAAGGACGTCCTTTCATATTTTCAACATGCAATGTCCGTAATTCTAAAGGCAAAAAAAAATCTGCTCTTATTTATCAAAGGAATATGGCATAATTGAGGCCCTATACAAGCAATGCCAAAATTAGTTAAAATTTCTTATTTGCCATGTCTATAATAGTACCAATTTTTTTGTTCATACTCTGACAATTTTCAAAATTATTGAGAAATTTCAAAATAAAATTCAAACATTGATCTCCCTGTAAGTACCTTTGAATCTCCAGCTTCGATATTTCCCAACCTTTCGCAGACACCCTGTATAATGTCAGTTCAAGCGACATATTCTTTTTTTCTTCAGGAGACAGCTGTACCTTAAAAAACGGCAACGGAGGCACCTGCAAGTACCTGACGCACTGCCCTGCAGCTCTGCAGCTTCTGCAATCGGGAGTCTTCCCAGAAATATGCGGATTCGAAGGGACGCAATCGATCATTTGTTGTGAAGGTGCTGCAGGAGGAAAGAAAACTACTAGTACCACCACGACAACCACCAAGGCCCCTACTAGGAGAACTACTACCCATGAACCGGAAGTCACGAGTAAAGTCACGGTCACCAACAGGACACCTGGGGAAGTAAGCAAACAAAGTAAGTTTTGACTAAAAGTATAAGAAAAGTCTTGATTTGGGGTACATTTTCTACTCTATAAGTTGTGGAGGGTAAAAATCTGTACCATTGTAAGCTTCTTACTGGTATTTTTCCCAGAATGCAAGGAATACGCCCAATACGCTTACGACAGGTCACAATCTCCGACACTGTCCATCATTCCACATTTTGGAAACACTTTGGAGTGCGCCTTCGAGAAATTACAGCTTATTGTTGGAGGTACGTTGGCGACAAGGCAAGAATTCCCTCATATGGTAAGTATTTTTGATGTTAGATTAATGTATCATACGCAATGCCCAGATCTCGCACCTCTCGACTCTTTGTTTGAACACTAAGAAAGTGTATGTGTTTTTTAAATAAATTACAATTACTTTGTATTTGTGTATGTCAGTAATTACACAGGTCAACATTTGATCTAAGCGGGAACACCGTAATCGGTATAGGCTACTAGGGGTTTTTGGGGTCGCTGATTACGATGAGGGGGTCAGTTAACCTCTATCACGTCAGGTTCAATGTCATTTGAAGGTCAAATGCAGAAAAAGCCATGAAAAATTAAAAATCTGAAAAAAATCATGGATATGTTTTTGAGGTCGGACAATCCGAATCTGAGGTCAGCTAAGCTCCACAAGGTCAAGGTCAAGGTCATTTGGAGGTCAAATGCAGAAAAAGCCATGAAAAAAATCTGAAAAAAATCATGGCTATGTTTTTGAGGTCGGACAATCCGAATCTGAGGTCAGCTAAGCTCCACAAGGTCAAGGTCAAGGTCATTTGAAGGTCAAATGCAGAAAAAGCCANTTGATAATTAATGCATAAAAATATCTATGAATATATAAATACTGTGAGAGTTGTAAACATGATTCTTCAATTATCAGAGAATCAAAGTGTTTATGTCCGCAAGAAATATTACATCACACATACATACAGTACGCGCATAAAGTATGGAATAAATTCAGTAAAAACAAAACAAATTTTTTGGGGGAAAATCCTCGAACAAGTCGATTTTTAATTTAAAAAATACATAAAAGGCGATTTTCAACCGTCATTTGTTTTCGAGTAATGACGTCATCGACATGTTTTTAAATAGCAACCCCCTATTTTTTTTCTTAATTCTGAAAGATCGTTACATTGTCGATCCGATAGTATTAAAATATTGCCATCTTACATAGGAAAGTTTTCGAGTAAATGACGATTGAATGTTAGAAAACCCAAATCAATTAAAATAAAGCAAAAACGTTAACAAATTTAGTTTTTCGAAATGCCTGAAGTTTTTTATGGATCACGTAGGTGTAAACCTTTACAAATTGTCACTGTCATACCGACTTTCTAAGTATTGTAAGCGACATAAAAATTATTGTTGAATTTAAAGTATTATCACACAAAGAATTTAAATTTTAATTCTTATCGGATGCGGGGATAAGACTAGAACGCAGCAGGAAGTTTGCGATTTATTTAATGAAAACATCCAGATGGCCGTATCAGCCAATCAGCAGTCAGTAAAGATAGAATCTAAATTTAGAGAAACTGGCAATGTTGTTGATATTCCAAAATCTGGACGTCCAAGCGTTAGTGAAGATCACAAACAAAACATTTTGATAAGTATGGTAGATAATCCTCATAATACTTCACGATTGGTTGGATTAAACAATGAAATTAGTCAGACCACAGTGCTACGTATCCTGAGGCTGGAAAAATATCATCCCTTCAAAATTGAACTTGTGCAGGAACTCAATGAATACGATCCCGACCGCCGCTTACACTTTTGTGAAATTATGATGGATTTATGTCAAGTAAATAGAGATTTACGCCGGCAAATAGTTTTTTCAGACGAGGCCACGTTTTGTTTCAATGGTACAGTGAACCGTCAAACTTGCAGGTATTGGAGTCGGGAAAATCCTCATAGGATGACAGAGACACATACCCAACACCCACAGAAATTAAATGTGTGGGCTGGAATAGTTGACAACAGAATAGTAGGGCCTTTCTTCTTTAAAGGAACCCTTACAGGAGAAAGATATTTAGAGTTTTTACAAAATGACCTTGTTCCAGCGCTTGCAGTAATTTTTCCTAACGATAATGACCCTGANCAGTTGATAATTAATGCATAAAAATATCTATGAATATATAAATACTGTGAGAGTTGTAAACATGATTCTTCAATTATCAGAGAATCAAAGTGTTTATGTCCGCAAGAAATATTACATCACACATACATACAGTACGCGCATAAAGTATGGAGTAAATTCAGTAAAAACGAAACAAATTTTTTTGGGGGAAAATCCTCGAACAAGTCGATTTTTAATTTAAAAAATACATATTTTAGCATAAAAGGCGATTTTCAACCGTCATTTGTTTTCGAGTAATGACGTCATCGACATGTTTTTAAATAGCAACCCCCTATTATTTCTTGATTCTGAAAGATCGTTTCATTGTCGATCCGATAGTATTAAAATGTTGCCATCTTACATAGGAAAGTTTTCGAGTAAATGACGATTGAATGTTAGAAAACCCAAATCAATTAAAATAAAGCAAGAACGTTAACAAATTTAGTTTTTCGTAATGCCTGAAGTTTTTTGTGGATCACGTAGGTGTAAATCTTTACAAAGTGTCACTGTCATACCGACTTTCTAAGTATTGTAAGCGACATAAAAATTATTGTTGAATTTAAAGTATTATCACACAAAGAATTGAAATTTTAATTCTTATCGGATGCGGGGATAAGACTAGAACGCAGCAGGAAGTTTGCGATTTATTTAATGAAAACATCGAGATGGCCGTATCAGCCAATCAGCAGTCAGTAAAGATAGAATCTAAATTTAGAGAAACTGGCAATGTTGTTGATATTCCAAAACCTGGACGTCCAAGCATTAGTGAAGATCACAAACAGAATATTTTGATAAGTATGGTAGATAATCCTCATAATACTTCACGATTGGTTGTATTAAACAATGAAATTAGTCAGACCACAGTGCTCCGTATCCTGAGGAAGGAAAAATATCATCCCTTCAAAATTGAACTTGTGCAGGAACTCAATGAAGACGATCCCGACCGCCGCTTACACTTTTGTGAAATTATGATGGATTTATGTCAAGTAAATAGATATTTAAGCCGGCAAATAGTTTTTTCAGACGAGGCCACGTTTTATTTCAATGGTACAGTGAACCGTCAAACTTGCAGGTATTGGAGTCGGGAAAATCCTCATTGGATGGCAGAGATACATACCCAACACCCACAGAAATTAAATGTGTGGGCTGGAATAGTTGACAACAGAATAGTAGGGCCTTTCTTCTTTGAAGGAACCCTTACAGGAGAAAGATATTTAGAGTTTTTACAAAATGACCTTGTTCCAGCGCTTGCAGTAATTTTTGCTAACGATAATGACCTTGATATTCCTGATGACACCATATGGTTTCAGCAAGACGGTGCACCTCCGCATATGCGCGCCCTGTTCGAGATTTTCTGGACAATTGTTTTCCTAGGAGGTGGATCGGCAGACGAGGACCGATAGAATGGCCCGCGAGATCCCCAGATCTTACACCCCTGGACTATTTCTTATGGGGCTACTTAAAGTCCAAAGTGTACGTTAATAGACCACATAATTTAGAAGAACTCCAAAATTGTATTATAGATGAAATACACAGAGTTACCCCAGAAATAATTCATGATGTGCAAGAAGAATTTCTACACAGACTTGCGTATTGTCAAAAAGTCGGTGGGTGGCAATTCGAACACTTAATTTAGGTAGAAAACTTAATGAATTATATTTGCTTGACATAGGAATTGCTATTTTTTTTATGAATAAAATTTACGTTTTCTAACATTCAGTCGTCATTTACTCGAAAACTTTCCTATGTAAGATGGCAACATTTTAATACTGTCGGATCGACAATGAAACGATCTTTCAGAATCAAGAAAAAAATAGGAGGTTGCTATTTAAAAAAAATGTCGATGACGTCATTACTCCAAAACAAATAACGGTTGAAAATCGCCTTTTATGCTAAAATATGTATTTTTTTAATTAAAAATCGACATGTTCGAGGATTTTTCCCAAAAAAAATTTGTTTCGTTTTTACTGCATTTATTCCATACTTTAGTATGGACTGTATAATTAAAATGTGTAGCTATGTTGTAATATTTTTACAATTCATTTTGATTGTGATTTCTCACATGGAATTTCAAATCAAATATTTTAGAGGGTTAATTCTTTATACTAAAAAGGGACTTACAGTTGACAAAATTGATAGTTTATAAATACTTTATTTTGCTACATTCTTATAATGCATCTCTCTACTCCAGTCGAATTAGATCATAAAACCTGAAAACATTGACGGGGAAGGGTATGTGGAATGAAAATATCAAAAAAGTAACTCGAGAGAAGTGACGCTGAGTTGGAAAATTGCAAATAAGTGCAAATTTACGTGTTTTATCACTTTTTTTACTGCCCAAGAAAATCTAGACGACCTATCGGAAAATTAGTAATTTTTTTGTTGTAGGCAATTAAATTACCTACAATTTAAGGTACCTAGAGCCATTTTTCAACAATTTATTAACTGTAAAATAAAGGTTGAACGCGGAAAAATCACTTTTCGAAAATTGTGCATTATTATTGCAAAAAGATGAAATTGGAGTAGCTTTTTACAATTAACAAAGTAGGACTTGCAAAACAGCGTTAAAAACAAAATATCCCAGGGTCAGGCAAAAGCCGCTCGGGAATTCGCTCTTTTTGCATTAAATAGAGCTTATTTTTACGGCGATTTGTTATAAAAGAGAAATCACCTACGCCTCTTTGTTCCAAAGATAGCTTTTTTACAACGTTAATTGTTAATTAGCTATTGGACGTATCGAACCAGGATTTTAGAGATAATTGAAGAAAGGGTTAAACTTTTATATACCTTTCTCCGTCATAAATTGCAAGAACATGTCTATTAATAATTTTTTTCACAAACTCTAATTCGACTGATTTTTGATGAACGTTGTAGCATATTACATCAAAAGTCTGCGTATCTGTATTTCTTAACGCTTTCGCCTTCACTGCTCATTTAATTAAGTAAATAAACACAGACTACTGCTAGATACTTTTCCTGGAAATGATGCTCAGATAATACAATAAGCATTACAATTGTGAGGTCATCTGTTCTTGACAAGTCTTCTTTGCGCTTTACTTGAACGAGTTCGTGGAATAGCTGATTAGTTAGTAAGAATAGATCTCAGCTAATAAAGTCCATATTTAATAATTAACGTGAACAAAAATTAAAATTCCCAATGAATGTGTACGTACATTTCTAACAAAACCATTAATAAACTTCCCCATATAGACGTTTTTTTTAACAAGGTGAAAGGAATATTAAAAATGAACTTTATGATGTTTACCTACAAAACCTCCAAAAACAGCATTCAACCGTTTATTTTAACATTAATTTATACAACGCATCAAAACTCTGTTGAAAAATACATGTTTTTTTAAATATCAGTGTTTTACCGAACACTAATAATAATGCACAACTAATTTGGATACAAATTACAGTGTGGCGATCTAGTTATTAAGTAGCTTTTTTTATGATATCAATTTAAAAATAAATTCGTTTTCCATAAGGTTAATAGTGTCAACTGTTCCTTATCAAATTGCCAAGATTTTGAAGACGTTATATATTTACTAATTAAATAAATTTTAATTTCTCCGTAACTGCCAGAAACTTATTCATAATTTTCTAGTAATAATTAGAGTCTGGCACACATGATTCGTCTTTCTATATAGGCGGGGGCGGAGAAAAAAAAAATTATAATGGGTCTGTATACGAGGATTTATAATTTTTCGCTTTAAAAACGCATACATACAGGGTGATTCATTAACAATGGGAAAGTCGAAAGCTGAAGATACTACAAGTGAAATGGTGAATATTGGCGCAAACATGCCTTATCCGAAAGTTGATAGTNATTTGACCTTCAAATGACCTTGACCTTGACCTTGTGGAGCTTAGCTGACCTCAGATTCGGATTGTCCGACCTCAAAAACATCCATGATTTTTTTCAGATTTTTTCATGGCTTTTTCTGCCTTTGACCTTCAAATTACCTTGGCCTTGACCTTGTGGAGCTTACCTGACCTCAGATTCGGATTGTACGACCTTAAAAAGATATCCATGATTTTTTTCAGATTTTTCATGGCTTTTTCTGTATTTGACCTTCAAATGACCTTGAACCTGACGTGATGGAGGTTAACTGACCCTCTCATCGTAATCAGCGACCCCAAAAACCCCTTGTGGCCTATACCGATTACGGTGTTCCCGCTTAGATCAAATGTTGACCTGTGTTATTGTACGCTTTACCATTACAATTTATTATATTAAGAAATTTGTTACCATCTTATTGCAGTTTTGGAAAAGATGGTGAATATTTTTAAATACCAGCAAACTTTTTATTTTTCTCCAAAAACGAAACGTTCTTACATAAAACATGCAGTAATAAATCCTGAAAACCTTACTTGCTGTGCAACAGTGACAGACGCGAAATATTTTGTTTAATAATTTTGTGCAGGGCCGTACCATTTTTTTTTTGCTGAATTGATGTCACTGGTTACTCATAACTCCGCCACTGGTAAAGTTAGGAACTTAATATTATTCCGTTCTAAGGCTCTTAATTCATGTACCGTATCTGCAAAATTTGGTTTAAGTATCAATAAAAATAAAAACTTTTTTTTTACTATAATTTTGAAACCTTGTATTTTTTTTCTGAACGGTTTCCGGATAATTGTTTACATGAACTTTTTACTGAAAACTAATTATCTGTTTCATTTAAATTGGGGATACCTTGCGTAATAATGAGAGATATGTAGATACACGAAAACACACGAAAGAATATGCTAGAAAAAAATATAGGGGTGTACTCGTATATTACATAACATAACATCAAATTAAAATAAAATTTAGATAATTCACAGCCACACACACAAAAAAAAGTTGGGTATACTTTTTATGCGACTATATTTTTCGTAGTAATTTGGCCTCCTGAACACGAATCTGGGGTCAGAATTGGCCCATCACGTCACAATTTTTTCCTAACCTCTAAAAACTTGTGAAAAATAGTGAAAATTGATGAAAATTTACTAGGAAAATTTGGAAAAAAATTTATTTCCACATGAAATAGTACATTTTTATGTAAAAGACTCTGCTGAATTCAAATCCACTGTCAGAATTGAGCTAGAACGTGTGGTTTTTTTCTAACCTCAAAAAACCGAGCAGGAATCGCTATTTACAAATTATAAGCGAATTTTAACCAGATTTTGTATAAAGGGGTTTTTTGGGTCGCTGATTACGAATATGAATTCACGTTGTAAAAATTCAAGATGGCTGATCCAATATGGCGGGTGTACTTTTTTGAAATCCACCGATTTCAGTAAAATTTGGCATCATAAGGATTGCTGGTTGATCTCACCTTCATTAATCACACATCTGGAGCCAGATTTTCATAAATCAAGGTAAAAGATTCCACTCCGTCTAAAAATGTGACTTCGCTTAAAAAAATGACTTAAGGACTCTACACATGTAATGATGTGTAGTGTGATGTGCTTGTTTCCATGGGACAAGACAAAAAAGTTTCTACTTTATTCTTTCATTTATTTAGTCGTGCATGGGCTTATGGTTTTCCAATCAGATTTTTTTAACTACTATGCAGTTTTCCTATGGCATTTAGATGCTTTTATTTCTTAATAATTTTAAAGTTCAAGGAAAAGGACACATTACTGCCACACAGCACATCACTGCATCTGCTTATGCCTTCAATCTAAAAATGTGACTTTGCCGAAAAAATGCCGCCTACTCGGCCTAAAATTATGACTCTGCCTACAAATTTTACCTTGATTTATGAAAATCTGGCTCCAGATGTGTGATTAATGAAGGTGAGATCAACCAGCAATCCTTATGATGCCAAATTTTACTGAAATCGGTGGATTTCAAAAAAGTACACCCGCCATATTGGATCAGCCATCTTGAATTTTTACAATGTGAATTCATATTCGTAATCAGCGACCCAAAAAACCCCTTTATACAAAATCTGGTCAAAATCCGCTCAGAATTTGAAAATAGCGATTCCTGCTCGGTTTTTTGAGGTTAGAAAAAAAACCACACGTTCTAGCTCAATTCTGACAGTGGATTTGAATTCAGCAGAGTCTTTTACATAAAAATGTACTATTTGATGTGGAAATAAATTTTTTTCCAAATTTTCCCAGTAAATTTTCATCAATTTTCACTATTTTTCACAAGTTTTTTGAGGTTAGGAAAAAATTGTGACGTGATGGGCCAATTCTGACCCCAGATTCGTGTTCAGGAGGCCGAATTACTACGAAAATTATATGTCGCATAAAAAGTATACCCAACTTTTTTTTTGTGTGTGGCTGTGATTATTTTAGCATAATGAAGTTTAAAGGTGGTTTACTGTTTAGTCTAGAGTTTTCGGTATTTGAAACCTAGTTAAATATTCAATTTAATCGGTCAACGAACCTGATATCATGGCTTGGTATAAAATAACTGTTTTTTGAAGATATATTGCTCTGGACAAAGTGACCATCGCTGTTGGACATAAATAAATATAGGGTAGAGTGGAATTCAAGTTTTGCTGTAATTTATTGCCAGTCCCAATGGTCCAGGTATAAATTCAAACGAATTTATAGTCTGGTGTGTTCATCCATGATTAAGTAACAAAATATTAAATACGCCGACAAAGAAATGCATTAATATTCACGACTTACAGTAGTTTCAATAAGATTATATTTAAATAATGATGATGCGGCTGAAAAGTACACAATTAATTGTTCTCGTATTGAGACGGATATTTACAAACAAGAAAAGACGGCAGTCTCAACGAAAATTTACGAACCGTAACTGAGTAAATTTGATTTTAATTTGGTGCGGTTAAGTTTTTAACAATGAGTTCGTTTAATGTGTAATTTATCCTAAATGTGGTGATCGAACATTTTTTAGAAATCAGGTTAAACAGTTGTGGGAAATAAAAAAACATCATTAAGTGGTTATTAAAGGATAAATCAAATAACACAAAAACTTAAATGTATAAAAAGACAAATGTAATTCATAGATATGCATCGGAAACTTTGCGTGACAGTCAAATAAATAAACAGTAGTAATCTATAGTAAGTGGCGATAAGCTTTGTAGTAGCAGAAATATGCTAAATCTGTGGTCAAGCCATCCATGTGCCGGTCTATGATACACAATGCTACTGACTGCTATAAAATCATTTGCCATACACTCGACCAATCAGAGTGTCAAACTCGCTCGCACACGTACAAACGACAAGGAAGTGCATAGCTAACGTCTCTCAGCAGAAAACCTGGAATATTTAATTTAAAAGAAAAGTAGCCCTACATCTCTTAAAGAAAGTGTTTATTTCTAGGCTCTTATCGGGTATAAAACTGGAGATGAAATTGTTTGGGCATGCGGAGGCTCCCTCATCAGTGAAAATTTCGTTCTCACCGCTGGACATTGCCTGAAAAATCATCAACTGTAAGTACCTTGGTAAAACTGTGTTGCTGCGAATAATTTTCCAACTCAAATGAAGTCTATAATTTTGAGAAAACAGTCTTATATCTATTGTAGAAGGTAGGAATTACTGGAATATTACAGAAAAAAAAATCTAAATAAAGCAAAAACTTTTTCACGGAGACTATTATTAGAAATGCCAAAAAATAAACTTAAAACGGGCAAAACAGTACAGAATTTTGTTTGTCCATATTCCCGGTTTGGATTTAACTTAGAAAATAGTCGCTCTTTTTATAATCAGGTTTTATTTTTTTTCTGCACTCTATTCGTACAATTTTGAATTAATTAAATAAAATTATCATGAATCATGAAAAAATAATCAATTTTTACATTATTTTATGAGTAGTAATAGTACTTAGAATGCTAAATTCAAGGAACATAAGCTGAAGCCGCTAGACAAAATAGCGAATCCGCGTATGAGAGAGGCGCGCGCGCGGCTCATAGCGCTTTATTAACAATTAAAAAACAAGGCTTTAGAATAATGCGAGTCCCAAAAACTTTTCAGCATCTTGTAGGAGGATGTTTCAATTTTAATTTAGGTACCTGGCAACATAAAAAATAACAATTTTTTGTCTGGAAATCGGCCGTTGAAAATCGTTATTTTCGCATTTTCAGCAACTTAAATTGTTTATAACTTTAAAACTATTAATTCTAGAGGTATAGTGCATATAAACTTTTTTATTTATAATGTGCCAAAAAATCTAAAAAAAAATTCGGAAAAAAAAAGTTTCAAGTATTTTAAAATTTGCATAATTTCTTAAATATTACTAGTATGTGGACAGGTGTACATTATTACTATAATACTAATTTATTTTTTATAATAATAATTATAAAATGGGCACCAGATTTCTGGTCGGCATCATCTTGATTCATGTTAAGGAACAGCTCACGAATCTGAATATGCAAAAAAATCGAGGTTTTCGCCTTGTCTAATTAACAAGTTATGTTCTCCAAAATTGCTGATTAGAAAAAGGAACTACTGCCACTGAAAACAGCATAAGAATTATTGTACGCTGGAGCGCAATGGCTCCATCTATCGTGCTGACTCCCACTGTGCCATTCATTGGCTACAGTAGGAAGCGACCTGCTATATCGCAGGTACTTGGATTCCTATAGCGATAATCGAATTTGGTTCACTCTCTTACCGATTTTTTCAGTAAAGTTATTACTTTTTTCAGGGGTTCAGCCGCGTTGATAAGAGTCGGCCTAACGAACCAATCCGACCACGCGCACATGCAAGAACGAACAGTTAACGAGGTCATCGCGTATCCAGAATACTCCTTCAGCAAATACCACGACATCGGCCTCTTGAGGCTTTCCAAAAAGGTCAACCTTGACATCTACGCCCGACCGGCGTGCCTTCAGACGCAAAAGAACATCCCTTTCAAAAAGGCCATCGCGTCAGGATGGGGAAGGGTCGAATATTCAGGAGAAGGGAGCAACGACTTGCTGAAAGTAGTCCTGGAGTTTTTCAGCTTGGATAAGTGCAACGCCACTTATAGGAGGGACATCATCGCTCCTAATTCTAACCTCAAAAATGGAATCATCGACGATTTGATGGTCTGCGCTGGGTCTTCTAAAGAACTGAAGGACACATGTCAGGTAATACAACTTTTAGTTGAAATAAATGCAACAATAAAACATAAATCAATAATAATATATGAGATGTACCAGAATCTATGGTAAATTCATCAAGGGTAACTTGCTAGGGTGAAAATAAACCGATTACCTCAGTACAATTTTACTTCCTTAAGAAGTTATGGGGAAATACGTCTTTCTAAAATAATTCTGTCACTTTTTAAGGTACTCTTAGTTCAATGGAATTAAAATTTTCCTTGTACAAATATATTTTATTCGATTTGAGTTAAATCGTGACAAACAAAAAATCAATCATCTTTCATCTAATGCGACCCTAATATTAATTTTAAAATAATTCACGATATATCTATATACCTAAAGAAAACAAACGAATTCAAAACTAAAAATGCAAAACTTTTAAATTTAAAACAATATAGGTAACTACCAACAATGTGAAAACAAAACGAATTAAATTAAAGTGCCTATGTTCAGGACTATCAATTTTAATTAATAAGTAAGTAGTTAGGTATCTAAGTACCTAAAGAAAACAAACACGAAACAAAAATACGACTATGAAGTTTTAAATGATTCACAATAAGAAAAAAACAAACAAATTATTAAAACTCAATGAAATAAACGTATGTTTGCAAGTATCTATGTATGTTCCGACTACCTAAAGACAACAAATACAAAACAAAAATGTGACCTTAAAATATCGAACGCAATTATAACTTTCCAACAACACCCAGAAAGAAAACACAGTCGTCAGTCGTCACCTCCATTCGCCCCAAGTCAGTTTATTAAAGGATCACGCGCGCGTTATCGTTCGGCTTATTAGCTAAACAGTAGGCAAGACGGTGCGGGGGGAGGGTCGGCGATCGCATCAAGCGAAGCGAGGCGCTTGAATTTTATTCTCGCGTCCGTAATTTTTTTGCGATTACTCCCAAGATATTCATTTAAATTATATGGTGTAAAAGAGTAAAATAATGTGAATAAAAAAATGAAAGCCTCTAACTTATTTAAAATGATAAGGATTAATACCGTATTTGTGTAAATAGCTTTTACATTACCGCTTTATAATTGGCAATTTTTTAAAGTATTAAAATTGATATAGGCATATATAAGATACACACATTGATACACTACCTACATAAACTTTCGGACCCCCCCCCCCGCTCGGATCTTCAATATCGTGTAATTTTACTCCCATTGAAACGAACATGTATTTAGTTAAATTATTGGAATTTGCATTTTTTTTATTTCAGGGAGACTCTGGAGGCCCGCTTCAAGTGTATCATGACGAATCGCAAGGGGTCAAATGTATGTACGACATTGTAGGAGTGACGTCCTTCGGAAAATCTTGCGGTTTGGCCAAAAACATTCCAGGCGTGTACACCAGAGTATCGGCTTATATAAAGTGGATAGAAGACACCGTTTGGCCGAACTAAATATGTGATTTAATTTTATGTTCTTAATGAGTGTGATATATGATAATAGTTGTAGTAAAAGAAACATGTTAAATATTTTGTTGCGATATCGAATAAACAAAACTCTTGTTTTTTAAAATGTTATAGGTACTCTACATGTTCCTACATCTTCTCCTTTTTCTAGTTATACAGGGTGATTCACAAATGGTGACTAAAAATTAATCCTCGTATTCTTTGGTGAATTTTAAGGGAAGTCTTTCGTATAAGGTTTTTATCTAGGACGCTTCGTTAAAAAGATACTTAAACAAAAAATATTTTCATTTTTTTTAAATAATTTAAGAACTAGTAAGTGAAATAATTTGAAATTGGGCACATGTATTTATGTAAACATTGTTCAAAATCTGAGGACTTTTCCTAAATTTTACATGCTCCAGTGGCGGAGATACAAGGTATCGGTGGCATAAATAAAATAATACGCCACTGCTTTTCACTAACAACCATGATATTTTTGGATTCGTCTTTCAGTTTTGTACAAATTACTACTCCTTTATGTTTTTCGAAAAAAAGCCTGATTTTCGAGTAAAACTTAAAAAACGAACTGAAAACAGTTTTACGTAAATGACGTGACAAGCATCTAATCATTCGGATATTTATTCGAATAAAGAAATGAATAACATTAGTCATCATTTTAATGATTTTATTTGAGTAAATGCTCAAAAATACCTCCATTTCCACGAACACAGTCCCGACATCTTTTTAGTAAGGAAAATGTAATTTGTTTGAAATTTATTGTTGCTTGAATCTGATGAAAAGCATTATTTATTCTTTCTTCTAACTGCTCAGAATGTCAAAGTTGCTATCGCAGTCCATTGTGTAATTTTAAAAAGCATTATATTCGAATATCGAACTCAGTTCATTTTTTACGTTTTACTCGAAAATCAGGCTTTTTTGAAAAGCATCAGAGTATAGTAATTTGTAGAAAATTGAAAGGCGAATCCGAAAATATTGTGGTTGTTACCGTAAAGTAGTGGCGTACTATTTTATTTAGAAAAATATGCCACCGATACCCTGTATCTCAGCTATTGGAGCATATTAATTTTAGGAAAAACCGTCAGATTTTGGACAATGTTTACATAAATACATGTGCCCAATTTCAAATTATTTCACTTACTACTTTTTAAATTATTTAAAAAAATTAAAAATATTTTTTGAAATTTAACACCCTGTATCTTTTTAACGAAGCGTCCTAGGTTTCATTTTTGGTCACCATTTGTGAATCACCCTGTATGTGTAAGTATACATATAATACCTATGTATTAAGCCAAGTATAATTGTTTGTAGGTGTTTTCTTTGTTAAGGAGGTATATCGGGGTCCAAGGGAAGTGAGGAGCGCAGAGGGGGTCCTATGCTTTTCTTATGGGACTAAAACCCGCTGCCAACTTGAAAAATTTAAATTCTATTGAAATTATTTGCGATAAACATTATCTATATAGCAAAGAAATCTACTCATATGCACATAGCATACATATTGACTAATTAACAACATAAAAATATCACATTAAGTAGTTTTAAATTATATTTAATGAACGCGTAAAGACTATGTAGATGTGGCAACAGCGCTAATAATTGACTAGCAGTTGTACACACTGTGAACCTACAGACCCCGGACATCGGAGATATTGCGCGTCAAATTCGGGTAAAGATGAGTACGCGTTCAAAAATGTATTGTGTGTAAACTATGTACAATATAATTATTATATATAGCAAATATATCGTATTATCCTCGCGAAGATTTGTTACCTTTATTCAAAATCCGTAAATCATGTGAACTGGTAAAACAACGAGAATTATGTTAATTTAGTTCTAAAGAAATGAAATGACATTCGCGCCCATCTCTCGTCCAAGTCAAAGAATATGTTGGATGCAATTTTGAAGGTTCTGTGATAGAAATTACATTATTACTCACTGTTAGTGTTTTTAATCTCTATTTTAGTAATGGTACAAAAGTTTTGCAACTATAACTAATTTTTTAGATATAAAGTTAGCTGAGAAATATTTATGTTCCTTTGTTATTCCGTACAAATGCTTTTATCTCAAGTATTACTAATTATATTAATCAAGTAAAGAAAATTTTATGTAACCCTAAATATTGCTGGGTAATGATTACGATGTTTATATAAACCATTAAATATATTAAAAGGATTTATCAACTGTATTTTTTATTCCAATAAATATATCACAGCTTCCTAGTCTTTTTTAATTAATCAAAGTTTTTAAAAACATTACAAAAATCATCAATTGTGGATAATTTATTGTTGATAACAATGTACATGGGATTTTGGAAAAATTTATATGTTTGAAATCAATTTTGTTTTTATTAAGTCTTTCAAATGTATTCCCTCCTTGCTGTCAGCTGATTGCCTCGTCAGACAGAAATGCAATTATTGGTTTCTATTTCTAATTAATACAGCTCTACTATGTTCAAAACTTACATTAGTTTTACATCAAAAATAAGATAATACTATGGAAAAGTTTTGTTTCACAATTTCTACATTTTTTTCTCAGTTATGGGCAAAAAAAGAGCCGCACCGTCCATCTTCGCCATATAAACCTATGTTAAAATGAACAACTTTCAACAACAATATCACAAAATCTAGATCAAAAAAAAAAAATTCAAAAAAAATATGACGCACAGAGGGAGCACTGGGTAATACGCTATATAAATTTCAAGTACATCTGTGCATGTGAGTAAACCCGATATACCTCCTTAAGGGCAATTCAACAGCAAATGTGAAAAATACAAACGTAACTATACAGTGTAGGTACCCCAAAGTCAGTAGGTACTTATCTCAGAATCATTTAGCAGAATTTGATAATGATAATTAATAATATTAACTATGCTATATTATTATCAAACTTAATAGTTTTTCCAACAAATTATTATCATTGAAACATTCTGAGGTTGATTTCTTTTAATCCCGAGGTCTTGATGTTATCAAAGCTGATTCTGTGTAAGTCGGCTCGATTATATTAGTTTCCTGGCAACAACATGTCTACCAGGTTTGGTAACCGCGCGCTTTTATTTGCGTTCATTGTGCCATCTGTATCTTTTGCCACTTTATATAAAGGTGAGTACGCTTGGAAATATATTGTTGCAAGTATAAAAGACTATTGGTTTTTTATATTCTCGATATCCACTCTTCAGGAGATAAATGTTCTTTACAAGACGGCAGCGAAGGCAAGTGTAAGCTTATAAACGACTGTCCGGCCGCTGTGCAACTCTTAAGAACAAAAATCCATCCGAAGATATGCGGATTTGAAAGAAATGATTCCATTGTTTGTTGCGAAGATGGTGAAGATGTGACAGAAACGACTGGTACCGTCAAGACAAACAGCAGAACAGCGGGAGATATAAGCAAACAAAGTAAAATATCAGTTTAGTTTAAACTTGGGTATAATTTATAATTATTTCCTATTATTTGTAAACCAACTATTTAAGCTTTGCCTCCGACATGCACAGATCTCAGACAGAGTGCACTATAGTGCGAAGACGACAGAGATATTAGAGGTACAGTAAGAGCAAGCGTATGTAAACTGACAGTTTCACTTTGATCTAATTCAACTGTTTTCGGTGTCCTTGGATGGAGAAGCGCTGATCAGAGTCACAATAAGAGTTTTCTACTTTTTACAATTATTAAATTGAAGAGTAGATTATAGTTTCTGAATTTGTTGGTTTGCATATGCTGCAAAAAGAGTACAACTTCATGATAATTAATTCCTAAACAGTTTAGGTCCAAAGCGTATCAAGGCTAAGCTTAAATTGTCAGTCTGTATTAATATGCAGAATAATTTTCAGAATGCGAAAAATATGCGGAGTACGCCTATGAAAAAATCCAATCGCCCACGCTGTTGCTTAATCCGCATATTACAAAGAGACTCGTGTGTGACATTCCGAGGAATAGACTGGTTGTGGGAAGTTCCCTGGCTTCAAGAAGGGAATTTCCTCATATGGTATATATGCCGTTATTGTTAAATTATATTTTTTTGCAATTATCATCACTACAACTATTAATGACCATTATCGCTACGAGTATCGCAGTAAATATCGACCCGTTGTTACTACGAAAACATGCTACCTCAAATTAAGCTTCGAAAACATGCTTGCTCAGATCTTTAAGAAAAAACATGCTATCTCACACAAAATTGAAATTTAAGTTGGTTGCATTGGCGTTGAAATACACATTGAATGATTGAAATACTTATAATAAATTTATATAATATATTTTTCAAAAAGTAAGGAATATTTACGTTCAGGTACACTATTTATTTTATTTGTTTCAATTAATTTTGTTAACTTACTGGTATAAACGACAACATTGTTAATTAAAAAAATAGAAGAATATGCAGTATGCTGCAACACGTACATTACTCGACGTTTTTTGAAATAACAAATTATAAAAAAATAGTGTAAGGTACCTTAATATATAATAATGTTTATTATTACTAAAAATTACTCGATTTTTTTTATATAAAACTTTATAGCGCACTCTTATGTGATTTATAGTCGCTACTCTTCCTTTTATTCTAAAAATAATTTTATATGCCTTAATATGGACTCCAAGGAGATTGCAATCAAAAGGATTATAGTGGACCAGGCTAGGCTCCAAATCATTCTTACCAGGGCAAGATGCAACAATTTGTAGAAAAACACCATTTATTCATAAAATTTCATTAATAGAGTTAATATAATAACCAGAATGTAAATATAATGCATAAAGTCGGAAACATGCACGTGCATATCATCTGCTCTGCGCCCGTCGCATCGATATCCAGCAGATCATAAAGTACCGGTAATAAAAGTGTCGCATACCTGCATTTCATTTCCAAAGTCTATGCAAGCACGTGGCTACCGTACCTTTAACCACATACGCATACCACTTTGCACACAAATCGTCATCATCGTCATTATCATCATCATCATCAGCATCATCACCCGCATCAGCATCCACGTCAGTCAAGAATCACTATCATTCATTTAGCATACATTTTTTAATTCATATTCAGAAAGTTTTACATCGTAGTTATTCATGTAACTCATCTATTAATCCGACATATTCCATATTTGCACCAGAAGAGTATATTTTTGAACCTACATCTGCAGAAATATTACTTTAAAAAAGTGACTAATGCCCTTCTTGCACCTTTCAATTGAAGTGTGTGATATATTGAAGTATATTTTTGAATATATATTTTTTCAGTATAGTCATCAGTTCATAACATACTTTAAATTTAAAATATTTTCTAGCATACAATTTCTTTTCTTGTCGAAATAAACATCTTTATTTCTAGGCTGTTATTGGTTACAATCAGGACGGTGAAGTTAAATGGAGTTGTGCAGGTTCTCTTATAAGTGAAAACTTCGTCCTCACAACCGCGCACTGCTTGTTTATAGAATTCCTGTAAGTACATGTAATATCCATATTAGGGTGGCCCAAAAAAACGAATATTTTTTTTCGTATCTCTTGGTATCCCCTGTGAAAATATGTTAGTTTATCATGTTTTAAGAGCCCCTCAAAAAGTCAGCTTCTCGTTATTTTATCATCGCTTATTGAATTTGATGATCAAAAGAATAGAAATAAATCACGAGATACTTAAATTACAAAAAAATTAAAAAATTATAAATATTTGATACTCAGTGTGGTAGTAAATTTTGCCACGAGAAATTTTTTAAGTGTCTCGTGATTTATTTCTATTCTTTTGTTCATCAAACTCAATAAAAAAAATTATTAGTTGATATTTATTTTTAAAGGTCGCTCGAAAACATTTTAGGTACACTACTTTTAAAGTTAAAATAATTATAAGTGTCCTGTAGAAATTAAAATTTCGACTTGAAATGTTCAGAATCGAGATTTTTTTTCAACGTAGAAAATGATAATATAACGAGAAAAAAATTAAAAAACAAAATTACAATTTCTGACGATTTTGGAAATTTTTAAAAATCTTGAGCGACCTCTAAAAAATTTTTTTGAGCTTATTTTTTAAGGGGGCTCTTATAACATGATAAACCAACATATTTTTACAAGAGACACGAAAAAAATATTCGTTTTTTTGGGCCACCCTAATCCATATGAATGTAGATGTGTGACTTTTTCAGAGTCAAAACTCACATAAGCATCAATAAATGTTCAGAATTAAACTAAAAATGTGTGTATACGCTTTTGTGATAGTAAACATTTTGAAGATGCTATTTAAAAGATTATCTAAATATTTTGTTTTATATACAAGGTGTCCGTTAAAGAATGGGCAAAATTCTACGACGAAAATTAATGGGGAAAAGTCATGTTGATCATAAACGTCTAGATTTCGAGATACAGGGTGTTGAAGTTGAAACCTATTTCACATCAATAAAAAAACCAATGGCGTGCAAACTATATTTACGAGACCCTTTTTAAAAAATTATTGTTACGTCACTGCGTAAAGCGGAAATAAATAACATTTATCAAATTTTCAATGATTTTTCAGCATTTCACTTGTGGAATATCGGTGAGAAACACCGTTTTTGAAAACAATGGTCATATGCGAGCCGAAGAAAATCCAAAATGAAAGCACTGTACGACACTTTCAGCATGAGTTGAAATTCAATATTTGGTTCGGAATAATTGACGATCATCTTCTTGGGCCCTTTAAACTTCCGGCATCTTTAAACGCCCAAGATTATCTGCACTTTCTACAATGTAATTTAATTGAACTACTAGGAGAACATTATTTTGAATATCAGAGCTCACATGTGGTATTTACATGATGGTGCCTCTAATGGTAAGAAACTAATTAGATAATATACCTATTTCCTCATCGATGAATAGGAAGAGGAAGTGAACACCTACGGCCTTAACGTAGGGATCTAAATCCGCTTCATTTTTTTTCTTGAGTCATAATAAGGCCATATTTATATAAGACCAAACCAATGTTATTCATTTCAAAAATAATCTTAAACATAATTAATGACTTATTTGACTTTTCCACACTAATTTGCTTAGTAGAATCTAGTGATAAAGTTTGGCCAATTCTTCAACGGACACCCCGTATAGCCAAATAAATTTTTCAGCGGTCCTGCGAAAATGGTAAGGGTTGGTTTAACAAATAAGACGGACCTTACGCATATACAAGAACGGACAGTGAGTGAAATCGTCCCCTATCCCGAATACAATAAGACCAAATACCACGATATCGGTCTCTTAAGACTCTCAAAAAACATAAAGTTTAACAGTTACGTACGACCAGCGTGCTTACAAACAGAAAAATATATTCCCTTTGTCTTAGCCATATCCTCAGGATGGGGGGCCCTTGTTTGGGGAAAACCGAGCAACGACTTGTTGGCGATAGTGCTGGAATTTTACAGTGCTGATAAATGTAATTACACGTACAGGCGGGCTATTCGGCCTGGTGGCGATTTGGAAAATGGAATCGTTGACGATTTGATGATTTGCGCTGGTACATCTAAAGCAGTAAATAGTACATGTCGGGTAAGAGAAATACTTTTATACAGGGTGTCTTATAATTAGCTGCCAACCCTGAACAGGCCGATTCTATGATCAAAACTAAGTAAAAAAGTTCATATGAACATGGGTCCGGAAATGCTTCCTAAGGGCACAGGGACCCATTGAAGAGGGAGGAATGGAAATCATTTTTTTGCAATATCTCTCAATCGCGTTGTGATAAATGAATGAAATTTGGTATACACAGCTAAATTTTGATGAGCAATTTGATGGACTAATCCATTTATTTCCACAAGGTCCATTGGGGTGGGTACGGGGGGGCCCTTGGTACTTTGCGTGTGTAACTTTTTCATCTTTGACTTTTTAACAAATTGGACAGCAAATTCCGTTTTCCCGAACTGTTTTACGTTAAAAAGGTACTCTTGTTTCAAATCGTTATCTTTAACGGTTTCTGAGAAAATCGCTCTTGAATTAATCCCACTTTGGTCAATTTCATAGTAATTTAAACAAAAAAAAATATTTTGTTTAAATTTAATCTAATTTTAATAAAAAAATTATAATAAAAAATTAAATTAAATAAAAATTAATCCTTTAAATGGAAAAGAGAGGAAAGGAAAATTATTATTATTATTTTTTGTTTAAATTACTATGAAATTGACCAAAGTGGGATTAATTCAAGAGCGATTTTCTCAGAAACCGTTAAAGATAACGATTTGAAACAAGAGTACCTTTTTAACGTAAAACAGTTCGGGAAAACGGAATTTGCTGTCCAATTTGTTAAAAAGTCAAAGATGAAAAAGTTACACACGCAAAGTACCAAGGGCCCCCCCGTACCCACCCCAATGGACCTTGTGGAAATAAATGGATTAGTCCATCAAATTGCTCATCAAAATTTAGCTGTGTATACCAAATTTCATTCATTTATCACAACGCGATTGAGAGATATTGCAAAAAAATGATTTCCATTCCTCCCTCTTCAATGGGTCCCTGTGCCCTTAGGAAGCATTTCCGGACCCATGTTCATATGAACTTTTTTACTTAGTTTTGATCATAGAATCGGCCTGTTCAGGGTTGGCAGCTAATTATGAGACACCCTGTATATTAAATTTTAATTAAGTTTAGTTAGGGTAGTTCTGGATGTGGGATTTTCGATATTTGCAATTAGGAATGCAAATAAAAGCAGCAAGTGATCATAAAAAGTAGTGGCAGCCTCAGCATCGTTATTCCTTACCAATCTTGATTTTTTGCTGAAGATAATCTCCGACAGCTACTTTCGTCACAATCGACTGAGAAAGTAGCTGCTGATCTGCGAAATGAATGACCGATAGATATTTCTAGACTTTCTAGTTTCAGGAATCTGGCAATATTTGTAGTAAAAGTGTTAGTGCCTACAGGTTAGTCGTTTTTGTAAATGGGAGAACCTATAGAATATCACTTTATTCTTCTACATCTATGTACAAGCTGGTCCATTTTCGATGGGATTTCAGAGTATTTCAGAAACTACTAAAGATATGATAAATCTGACACCACGTTCTCGAGCTCGATTTTCATGGCAAACTCGACTGTCAAATCAGAAATTTGCTATGTTCATTTGATTTTGAGTTACAGGGCGTTCCTCGTTATTGTGACACTTTTGAATATGTCTCTATCTCAGCTGTTAAATAAGGGTTAGAGCTAAAGTGAAAACTGCTCAAGACTAATTTTTTGGCGTAGAATTGAATGCCGGTATTACATTTTTCGTAGGTCTTAAGATTCCAGAGTTATGACCCAAAGTTATATTTTCTTAAATGGAAATCGTATCTGGTCATAACCTAAAAAAAATGAAGATTTTTTTTTTGCTTTTCAGCGATATATCACATGCTATAGTTATTTTTACAAACACAGAAGATACGGGGTGTTTTATATATAAATTCGATCCTTTTTTACATTTTAATATGGCTGGCTATGAAAATACATACAAAACTATAATTCTTACTTTTACAAAATTCTTATCTGTTGCAAGAATCCTGCGCCCCCTTTTGGTCGAATTTTAAAATACAGATACACAACTAATAAGTACTGTGAGGCAATGCGTTCTGAATTTATTAATAAAAGTGTCTGTTTGTACCTTGGTATTCGTGGAGGTATAAATCCGTAACACTAATTTATGATATTAAAAATATCTCCTCAACGGTTTAGTCATTTTCAATAAGTATACCTTTTTTGTTAAAAAAAGTCCAATATTTCAATATTTTATTACTAAAAACTGTATACGGGGGTTGGCAAAAAGTTGTTACTACATATTATTCAATGCATAACGCTGTCTGCAGAGGGCGCCTCGTACGCGACACTCAAAAATCATTATTATTTTATTTTTCCCGTCATTAAAAAACTTCTTTGTTGAAAATTTGAAACATTTGTGAATAAAATTATAGAAATTGTTAAGGAAAAACCATTTTTTATTTTTCACTTTGACACCCTGTATCTATTTTATTATGCGACTTGGTATATAGGATGATATAGTTTAAATCGACTTATTTTTACCCAAGGAATTTAAATACACACTGTACTACTTATACAGGGTGTATTAATTACTGTCATATCGTTATTTCTTTTTAATTTTAGGGGGAATCTGGAGGACCACTTCAAGTCTACCACAAGGAAACTGAAGAAATGAAATGTATGTACGACATCATCGGAGTAACTTCCTTTGGTTTTCCTCCATGCAGTTTACAAAACGACGTTCCAGATGTGTACGTTAGAGTATCAGCTTATTTAAAATGGATAGAAGACACTGTTTGGCCGGAATAAAGACGTGCTATTTTAGCTCGACTTAGACCACTTGTGTCAGTGTATTGTAATTTATTTTTTTTTAAACGTGATTTCAAAGCTTCTATTAGTTGTAAATAAAAAATTGTTTAAAACATTTTCTAATTCTCAGTGACATACCATTTCAAATACTTTTTTCAGAACAATCAAAAACTGATATATATTTACTTTGCTTATCAAGGGCTTCCTAGATATTGCTCACTAAGTTTGCAGATGCATGTTGTATGTTCTTTTACCTTTTCTGAAGTTAATTCGTGGCTCACAGAACTGTTTATAACGAGCGTTCAAATAAAAACGTGGTCGAAGTTGGCTCTGACACATTGGACGTAGGGAGTAGCTTATAGCGACCAACTTAACCTCATTTCTCAACGGGCTGTATAGCAGCTGTCAGTTTCAATAACGTTAATGACTATATAACTTTATTTTAAAGAATAATCGTGATAATAATAACAAACAATTAAGTGTCTGACTGCTGAAAGTGTCCCCCTCCTTGTTATAACAATAAATTAAAGCAGCTGCTGAAAGTGTCTCTCTCCTTGTTCCAAGCACTTTTCACACCTGTTCCTCAAAGAATTAAAGACATTTTCTAATATGCTCGGGGTATTGTTAATTTCAGGAATCTTGTCTATAAGTCGAGCCTGCAGATGGTTTAAATCAGGAATAGGCAGTTCAAAATTAGTGTTTTTAAGGTAAGGCCACAAAAAGAAATCACACGGCGTAATATCACATGACCTCGGTGGAAATTCATGTTCAGCATTGAGACTTATTAGTCGATTTTGGAAAACTTCCCTCAACATATTCATCGTCTCGCCTGCCACATGTGCCCTTGCGCCATCTTGTTGAAAGTAAAAGTTTGTAATTTCGTTTTCTTCCAGCTGGTTAACAAAAGGAGCGATAATTTCTTCTCTATACCTTTGCGCAGTAAGAGTACCATTAAAAAAATAGTTCCATAAATCCTCCTTCGATTGAGAGCACACCAAACTCCAATTTTTTTGCATGTAAAGGGCCCTCGACAAAAAAGTTATCTGGTTTTTCAGAAGACCACATTCTCATATTCTGTGAGTTTACGTAACCACTTAAATGAAACCAGGCTTCATCAGAAAAAAAGGTGATATTATGAAGTTCACCGTAGTTGTTTAAAAACCATTCACAAAATACAGCCCGTCGCCGAAAATCAACTTCATGAAGTTCTTGCTGACAAGTTAAACGATTCGAGAACAAACGCAAATCTTTTTTTAACACTGTGTGGCAGGTACCGACTGATACTCCCACCATTTGTGATAAAACACGTACAGAAGTTCTTGGCGCATTTTCCATTATTTGTTGGACATTTTCTTTTAATTCTTCACTCCGCTTTTTAGGTCGGCCGCTTCCTTCTTTTCTTGTTACACTGCCCGTTTCACGAAAAACATTAACACAACGCTGAACTGCACTTTGAAAAATTTTGTACTCGACAACGCCGGGAAATTGATTTTGAAATTCTATGAAACATTCCTCAATAGAATACTTCCATATTCCATCAATCTTGCGTCCATTTCCAAAGTAGGACTCTATGATAAACACTTTTTGTTCTTGAGAAAACACCATTTTAAACGCTTTTTAAAACGAAAATATTCAAATTGATAGCGGCGATATAGCGCTTTGACAGATGACGTTTAAGTTCATTTGCTACACGCTACGCCCTACGTCCAAATTTTCAAAACCAACTTGACCACGTTTTTATTTGAACGCTCGTTATTTTTGTAAATAATTGCTGATTCTTGTGGTTAAAGAGATTTACTCTTACTTTTATATAATATAAAAATACTTCGTTATAATACAACAAAACCTGATATACCAGAATTTGAACACCACTAGATATTACTATCCAGGGTGTTAATTAAGTATGTACAATACATTTAACAGACGATTATTTGAGTGATTTTAAGAGAAAAAGTTTATATAAACATTGGTCCGCAGATGCTTCGTTTTCATTTTTAACTTAAACACCCTGTATCTTGCAAACTAAGCGGTTATGAGCAACGTTGTACCTTTTCTCCATTAATTTTCGTAGTAGAATCTAGTGGTAAAGTTTGGCCCATTCTTTAACGAACATCCTGTATAATCGCATTTCTCGCACGTCTTATCCATTGCAAAAGTCTAGACGTTCAAGATCAAAGTCATTGCCCACTATTTTAGAACTAGAGTATATTAACTGTGGTTTTGTAATAATAATGGTATCGTTAATAGAGAAGAAAATTAGAGCCACAATAAATTTTCATTTATCGAATTATTATAATTATTGAATTCATTGAATAGTTTTCTTAACCAGAATATTAACAAAACGTTATTAGACATCTTTTTAATCACATTGCGCAGACAAGATAAAAGCCGTCAAGGTCTTGTTCTGGACAAAGCTGATATATGCTGCATAAGTCGATCTGATTATGTCAGTTTCCTGAGAGCAGTATGTCTGCAAGGTTTCGTTACAATATACTTGTATTTGTGGTCGTTATTTCCACTGCCACTTTATGTAAAGGTAAGTTCATATATATGTACTATACTTTATATTGAATAAAATAAAGAATTTGTGTGAATTCTAATAGAAACTATTAATTTATTAATAAATATTTCCGTATTAATTACACAGCCACACAAAACAAAACAAAATAGTGTTCTTTTGGTCAGACTCTGATATTGACATGTTTTCGGACCCGCCGAATACGAATCTGATGTCACTTTAGCGTCAACACTCACGATTTTTTTAGAAAATGTCCCCTAAATCCTCAAAAAATAGGTTATTGTAACGTCGTTGGAGAACATTCATATTTTCAAGAATCTGAAAACGAGAGGGAATATAAAGAAGTGGAGACGAATATGTATATACCGTGGGATGGAAAGAATCATCCGCAAACGTTTAATCAGAGTGAGTTCAATGATTTTATTCGTAACTCAGGTTTACCAAAAGACTAAATATTCATCTAGAAAACTGAAAAAGAAAAATCCTCTACAGGGTCGGAAAGTCCCCATGGTTCGTCGGCCGTTACGTGAGAGCGATAAAGTAAGTCATAGAAATCCGTACGATTGAGAAAGATGGCTATAATGAAGGCGTCCAATAGTCACCGCCCATTTCGCCCTTCCACAAATAAGAAGTGGATCTTATTTGGATGGCAAAATTTCAAAAATGTAACATAAAACTTTCTGGTTAATTACAAATGTCACCGTTATCCCTATAACTTAGGTGACCATAGCGAAGGGTAAAGTTAACCAATTTATCAAAGTTTAACGAAAAGGGAAAAGTTATCAGGGTAACTTGGGACGTGAATATGATTGAGGACTACTGCTGGATCTGGAAAAAAGAATGTAAGGTTAAAGTCAAAAGGAAAAACGGAAACAAAGTACATCCACACATAAAAAGGTATATTTAATAATAATCTACAAATTTCTTTAAAAGAAATTGTTTCTTATGAAGAAATATTTATTTAATTTGATCATATATCTTTATTTCAGTATTACTCATGTATTTGAAACAAATCTATTTTATATTTAGAAAATGTATTAGAATCAAAGATACATCCTAAATTTAAACATATAATATAATGTATTAAAACATAGTAAATTATAATGTAAAACAAATCAATTTCTTTAAAACAATCATGTTTTAAGGTTGCATCTACATTTTGGTTATTTTAATTTAAATGAACTTATTTAAAACAAATAAATCATAAGTCCAAATTAAAACACTTATTTTATCAAAGGAATAATAGTATTTATTGACATAAAACTATCATATCGTTAAATTTTCAGATAAACTGCATTTAAAGATGTGGTATAGTTGATTTTAGTATATTGTTTTAATTCAAAACTATCATATTTTTAAAACTACGGCGAAAAGCGTGGATTAACTTTCAGCGACAGCCAAAGGCATTTAGACTTTTAACTTCTACCACATGCAGTTACTCGTCTCGTATGTGTTTTATAACTTGCAGTGTAGTGTGAGTGTGTATGGTGTATAGTCTGTGGTGTACTGTACTGTGTAGTACATCGTAGGAGTGTGTAATGTAGTCTTAGACAAGAACAAGACTACTTAGAACATTTAACTGCTTCTGATTATGGTGTTAAGGAAAATTGCATTTTCATTGAACTGGATGACTTTCACATATATAAAAATATTAGTTGTGATTTAATGCATAACCTTTTCGAAGGAATCCATCGTTATGAAATGGCGAAAATTATTAACAATTTATTAACTAATAACTATTTTACATTAAGCTACATTACTAAATGCTCGAATTAAGTATAACTCTTATATGTATAAATAAAAACATTCCTCCAAACATTAAGTATGCATGAACAAATTAGAAACGGTTATATTACTGTCATCTTCATGCTTTCCTTAGTTTTAAATTTTCATTTAATTATTAGAGATTTAGTTCCAGAAAATGATAAAACATGGATACTATACTTAATTTTATTAGAAATAACCGAAATGTTATTTTTGTCTATCTTTAATGATGAATCCATTGATTTTTTAAAATGTCTTATTGAAGACCATCACCTAATGTGTTTAAAACTATTTAAAGAAAATTTAAAGCCTAAATTTAATTTTTTGCTTCACTACCCAAATATAATAAAGAAAATTGGACCTGTAATACATGTTAGCTCCATTAGATACGAAGTAAAACATAAAGATTTAAAATATTTAGCTACCCTTATTACATGTAGAAAAAATGTACATTTTTCACTTTGTATGCGGACGCAGCTTAAATTATCGTATAGAATTTTATCACAAAAGGACTAATAGACACGTTTGAACATGGACCAATTCAAAATTTAATAAAAGGAGACGTTATCCTTCCATCTAATTCAGAAATTTCATCTTCAAGTTTTTGCGTGCCATGGTTAAAAATTAATGGTATTTTTTACAAAATCAAGTCTTGTGTTTTATTAGGTATCCTAATCCTTCTTTCGGTATAATAGAAAACATCATTATTAATGAAGACAACAATACAATAATTTGTTTTCATTTCTATTTATTAATTACCTTAAATTATGATTTGCATCATAGTGCTTATTCTGTGAAGATCTCTGAAAATTTTGTAACGGTAGACATTAAAACTTTAGGAACAGTTAAACCTACCGTATTTCACACTGTCTCGGAAAAATTATTTATATTTTTGTGAATGTTATTTTATACATAAACAGCTAAGGAACATTAATTCTTAAAATTATTTCTTATATTTGTAATGTTTTGTGTATACGTTTATTTAAGAAAAAATACATTCTATCCAAACATACTCATACATTTATTTTAACCTTACCCTATCTTTCCTAAAAAAGTTCCAAATTTTTATTCCAAAGAACTATTTTATTTAATTCAGGAAAGTTATAGTCTCATATCAAATAAAACCATTTATTTATATTTAAAAAACAATAATTTTCTTTCAAACATATATTTTGTTTTGTTAGAACAAATGTAATGTTATATTAATTTTATAGTATTTTTAAAATAAAATTACAAATGTTTTCTCTAAACCAATGAAAAATTTGCATTGCGGATATGGGAAGATATTATTTGTTTAGTTTAAATTTTACTGCATTGAATTAAACAATTATTTTTATGTGTGTAGATCTTCTGAAGACAAAGAAGCTCGCTACAAGGGAAAGCGATGATTCAAAAAAACATTACCCTAAATTACATACTGATATATTCGGGAAACACACTTTTATGTGAATTGATTGGAATTCTATCAAAAATGGTAGATGTTGGTGCCAAACTAACTTCTGAATGATGTTCAACGGGTCCGAAAACATATCAATAACAGGAATTGATCAAAAGAGCAGATCACTTTTTTGTTTTGTGCGCCTGTGTTTTTAATAATACTATTCAACTATTAATTTTTAAATATTCCTGATGCCTATTCTTCAGGAGACAAATGCTCTTTCAAAGATGGCAGCGAAGGCAAGTGCAAACTTCTAAAGGAATGTCCGACCGCTGTCCAACAGATAAAAACAAAGGATGATCCCGTCATATGTGGAATCAATGGAACTGAACTGATTGTGTGCTGCAAAGATGAAGATGTGATGGAAATGGTTAGTACTACCACGATAACCAGTCAAGTTCCTAGTAGAACACCAGGAGATATAAGCAAACAAAGTAAATTTCAGTTTATTCGCATTAAAAATATTGGGAATACTTTTTATACGAATCCGTTTACTAATTTATGAAATTATTTTCAGAATGTAAGGAATATTCGGAGTATGCCTACGAAAAGATTCAGTCTCCCACACTATTGCTTAACCCGTATGTCACAAAAAAACTTGAGTGTGACATTCAAAGAAACAGACTCGTTGTGGGAAGTACCTTGGCAGCAAGAAGGGAATTTCCTCATATGGTACAAGTCCTCTTATTATTATTACTATTATTAGCTTCATTACCAGTGCCATTATTAGAGCTCGTCATCTAGTTGAATGTTGCGAGTCAAACGGTTTCTTCATTTTATTGGGCTGAAGTTTTATGCATAAAAGAAATAGTACTATTACAGCTACCATACTGGATAATTTTAACTTCTATATTCATCGAGTGCAATATTCTGATGTAAGTGGTTGGCAATGAACTATTTCAATTATTTTGTCCGTTTACGTAATTGGTCATTATTCCAAAGCTATCAACTAGTAGTTGTAATAAAATATAATGATATTAAATAAAGGCATGTAATACTTTAAAAATGATTTGAAAATCAAGCCTAACTTTAATTATTTATAAATATTTAGAAACATGGAGAATTATTAATAATAATAATAATAATAATAATAATAATAATAATATTAATAATAATAATAATAATAATAA